TACAGCATCCACATTGGCTGACGTGTTAGGTCTGTGAACGGAGGTACTTTCTATCGACTGAATAATTTGTCTTTAGTCGTGCACGTACAATCATTAAGTGTATTAATGGCAAGATTATTCGATCGGTAACAGGTACGTATTCTTGGAAATAATTTAATTTCTAAGTATGTTGTTTCTTAGCTATTTTCGTCCTCGGTAACATTTCTACCGTATATCGATTCGTTGGTAGAGAGGTAATGGATAAATTGATTTATCGTTCAAAGATAGAGTCATCGAAGAACAGAGAGCAAAGGACAACGGCTGCGAAGTAAGTTTCCGTTACTTAAGTAGGCCATCGGCCTAGAAAATCTGTTTTGCCAAGGAATCCGGTGAGAGCCCTAGTTTATTGCACCACGAGATTGCGAGTGCAGGCAGCGTGTGACAAAGAGCTCGCATTCGCTTTACGTACACTCGAGAATCGTACAAATTCACCACCCTTGCCTTTCGCTATTCTAGCCGTCATACGATTCATTCGAAACGTCAAATCGCCCTTCTTCGCTGATCAATCCCTGACGTTCCAAATTCGTACGTCTCAACATCATCCGTCACTTTCCTTTTTCAACTTCTTATTCAGCGAAGAACGCGAGTAAATGGAAGAGTTTGCGCGGAAAATCGCGCGTGGCGGCGGCGCGTATTTACGACTTAACTTACGATTGCCACTTTTTTCCTTCCGTCACACTTAGCAGCCGTAGCTTAAGCCTCACTTTCGAAATTGCATGGCACACAGCAGCGGCAGTGGGGGAGAATGGTAGCGGCAGCGGCGAGGTAAACGGGCCGCGCGCGATGTGCCGCTCGAACGAGCCGGCTGCGGCCGAGGTTTCCTAAAACGCTCCCGGGGATGGAATGAGTTTTCCGGACGATTTAGTCAGGTATTTATTTGGTCCTCCCTCACCGGCATCTTCGCGGTTCTCGCTCCAGGGACCATCTTCTGGGAAATGCCCGACATAATGTAGCTTCACCGAGGTAGTCGCGCTCTTTCTCTTCTACGGTTCACACTACGGCCCTTTTATTGTTCTTCCCGGTGTCTTTGGTCCCGCATCCTACCTAAACTGTCGCCCTCTTTCCCCGTCGTTGATTCGTTCTCCCGGAATGGGATCCGTTCCCAGCGGTTGCTCGGGGAGAAGTGGAGAAGAAAGAAGGGTGGCGCGCAAGACGGAGGACGAAGAGGTGGCGACGCGAGGGAATGTCGTGCAAATTGCCGGGCGCCGCATCATCCCCCGGGGATCACGCGGCAGCTTCTCGCTCCCGAAGAAACGATCCCCGTATCGTGTCCCGTGAATTTCTATTTATCCTAGCGGCAAAGTCACGTCCCCGCGGCCAACGAGAGAGACAGAAAGCGATCGTAACACCTGGCAATTTACGACCGGATGCTGCTTACTGTCGCATCGCGTCGAACGGGACCGTTGCCACCGACTGTATCTGAATTTTGTCGCGCTACCCCGAGGGGCTTAGCGAGAATCAACGCGAGAAGGGCTCGCGGATCGCGGGAAAAATTTCAGCGGCGCGCATCGAACATGCCCGCGGACGTTATCGAATTTTGTCAGTGCCGCGTGTGTGAAATATTATTTCACCAAAGATAAACGAAGCGTCGCGCCGTCCATTGCCGCAGGAATTTAACGCGCAGTCACCCTTTACCTGTTTCCCTCCCCTCGCAATACGCTCTCAGCCAGCGTGTCTCTCCGCTTCCTCAGGAATCCGATAAATAATTCTTGTCGATTTAACATTAAATATGCCGTTTCGCGAGATTAAATTGTCATCTGTCGCGAAATTACGCGTGAATATTTATGTCGCGGCACCGATGTCCACCTTTCAAATCAGTGGCTACCGTCAAGGGATAGGTGTATCGAAGCCGAGCCGTGCAATCTCGATTTCCGTAATACCGACGTGAAACGAGAAGCAAAGGCTGAAGCGAGGATGAAACAGCGAGAGGGCGGGAAAAATAGAAAGGGAGAAAAGCCGAATTGGCCGGCGAGAAGAAAAAAACTACGTCAGGGGAAACGGCAGGCAGCAATATCGTCGATCGTCGAGCCTAAAGTAACATCGGCCAGCCGTTTCTTTCTCTCGGCTCAGGCGCTGACTCGCTATAGAAACTGGGTGCAATCGATAGGACAGTCATCCCTGCCTCGGTTCTCGCCATCCACCCCTACTTAGTCGTTCTCTCTTTTCTACCTCTTTCGCGTGGCTCGGTGTACGGCGGCCCAGCCGCGATTACGAAGATTAATCATCGGCCGATTTTAATATTGCCGCTGGTATCTATATCGAGCCGGGACGAACGCGCAGGGCAGAGAGGAATGGAGAATGGCTCTACGGAGCGACCGGCACACGCTGTAATTTATTAATTCGCTCGGACGCCGTAACGGCCGACCAATAATTCTAATTTGACCGGCAGCTAAGCGCTTTTCGATTCGACAAGAAGCCACGGAAAATTGAATCGGTATCCCATAGCCTTACGTAAGTCGACGAGGCCAGGCTTAAAGGGGTTGGGCCGGTATTAGCGTCGACTCGAGGGGTTGCAGAAGAGCGTACACGTACCCTTTGCAGCCTTGCGAACCCTCCGCGTGCAGTCACGTTCCGAACTGCTCCGTTAGACCGGGGACCGAGTTTCATTAACGTCACGTGTACTGTCAGAAATAGTCCCCGGGGAATACCACGAACGTGTACACACTGAGAGAGGAACCAGCCAGGGAGAGAGAGAAGAGTGTCCCCGTTTCGCGACAGTTCTGACAGATGCTTAATATCACCGATGCCTCCGACTAATACCTTGGATTATCCAACGTTAGAGACCTCCGAGAGGTTGATCTGCGGATCTGCTTTTACCCTTTAATTGCTCGTATCTCGGTCCTGGTCGTCATCGGCGTCTCGATTCTTCTTCCTTTTTCTCTCTTCCTCTCTTCGTTCTTTTCGTTTTCATCGATATGAATTTGAACACACCGGACAATGTAACAACTATAACATCACCGGACAAGATTTTATTGACACTGTGGACTCGTGAATTTCGACCGGAAACTGTTTATTTTCGGCCGAACGAAAAATTTTCATTAAACATTCATATTTCCAAGCAAACGCCGACCGTTAATGTTTTACGCTCGACGAATCGATCGACGTTAACGAGGCCAATAATATAACGAAAAAGGGGCGGGGGTGCGAGTAACGTTGCGCGTGTTCCAATATCGGCGGGGTTGTGTGTTTCTTTTGGAATTTCGCGTGAGCGCGTGTACCGTCGCCTGACAGGATCCGGAAATTGAAATAAACAGCGACGAGGGAAGTTTACGTGCCATCCGTTCGTTCGTATAAATGTGTCGAGTGTTTCGCCCGCTGGAAACCGAGAGAATTCGAGCACCGTCGCGCAGAATTGTTCCGAATTCTAATGAATTTTGCGACATCGTAAATCTTACGCCGCCCTTACGCAACGATCAACTGTTTCGTCCGAACAACTTATGGTAAACTTGCGTGCCGAAACTTCCGAAATCTGCACGAAACTTACTCCAATCCGACGTTGTACGACGACAGACGGATGAAACAATTTCTTCTACGAGAAGAAATTATTGTTACTTTGTACAGCAATATACGTTAACGATCAATACCAAAATCATGTCCAAATTTCCTCGAACAATAGCAGACACCAAAGCTGATAGGTTTACGCAACGTGTTTATAATCAGGAAATCAAATGTTGCATAAATATAGATTACACGTTAAACACGTGTAGATACATGATATGGGAGAATTATCGCCACGCTCGAAGGCTTTATAAATTTGCCATTAGAACCAAACGAATAACGTTTATCGAACAATTTGCTGTTGTAACGCGCCAAAAAGATTGAATCTTCTTCAACGAAAATCATTTAATCTACCTTCGAAACCAAATCGCTACCGTTTTATCATATACTCCCGAACAAGTCGAACGAAAATCATTTACAAAACTAATAACTGTGTTTTCACAGATGAACCGATCGATTATCGACAATTTAATGGATAGCGGAGACTGTCTTTCGATAACGAACGAACGACGCCGTTCGTCTATTTGATTTCTCGATTATAGCAACACAGGGGAACAGGTGTTCGATCTAAATTCCACGCAAGAAGAATCCAACCAGCGCAGCGTTTGCTTCCATTGTCGATCGTGGCCGTCTCGAGCGTGGATCGCTAGCTCACGTAGAAAATGCGATACGATGCTCGTTGAGGGGCGAGGGGGCTTATCGGAGGGCCGTGGAATTCGAAATTATTGGCTCGGTGTTCATCGAGCCCTGTTCCCATTTCCCCCGTCGACGACGATGGCTCAGGTGCGTCGCCTGCGGTATCACAGCCTCGAGACGAGCCCGAAACACCGCGACGCTCATGAATATCGATCGTGCGGGTCGATTAAAATGCCACGACCCGCGGTGTTGCTTGTCACTGCTCGTTGGACAAATCCGTGGAAACGAAACGATCCGTCGAATTTCGTTCGATTTTGAACGAAACGACGACTAAGCATTTGTTCTCCATTCAAACATGCTTAAAACGTATATTTTAATCTGAAATTATATGTGTCGCGACACTCGGCAACAATGCATATCATTGAAGCGAAGTGACTAATGAGCCATCGATATCCCAATGGTCGTTCCGCCGAATTTTCGAGAAGAAGGCGTGCGTGGCAACGGTCGCGGACGCCTAACAAACGCGTGGACAGTGGGGATATTGAAGGACGATAAAAAGAAAAGAATCGAATCTGATCGACAGTTAAGTTTGAAGTTGAATTTGAATCAGGACGCGATAAAATCGAGTTGTAACCGGGCAGCGAGATCGACTAGCGAAACCGAGAGCGATACGCGACGCGATCAAAAGAAGACACTTGTTAATAAATATATCGTTGACCTAAACACTGAGTGATTATTTAACGCACTACACCAAATATAATACTCATATGTATAATACGTATGAATGAAAGCGTCGCTAACGAGATCGTGTTATATTTTTGTCGCAGAAGAGCTATACTGACGAATCCGGACCTGCTGTCCAGCACGCCGTGGTCTCGGCTGCTGGAGAACGATTTCTGGGGCACGCCACTAAACGATCGAGGCTCCCACGGAAGTTACAGGCCTCTTTGCGTGGCCACCTTTCGCCTGAATCATCTACTGGGCGGCCTGGAACCGTGGGGCTATCATCTGGTGAACGTCGCGTTGCACGCCGCCTGCACCGTGCTTGTGGTTAGAGTTGCCAGAAAGGTAAAGCACACGCCACTCGCGTTTAATAACGTTAATTAAGCCGACAAGCTCGGTGAAATTTATCGGTTATTCAAACGAGAAACTAATTCGGGATAGGAAGAGGGAAGGGGTTGGAGGCTCGGAGAATTCGACTGGTTCATCTGCTTTTCGATTAAAACTGGACAAGCTGCTCGTCCGTCGCGCGCATCACGTTGGTCAGATTTTACGTCAGAGCAGCAGGAAACGAGATAATAGTGACACCTGTAGAGTGTACGTCATGCAGACTTGATAATACCAGACGTTATGGCGACTGGCTGGAAATAAAATTTTACCAGTCCATTTAATTCCGGAATATTACGTTAATAATCGCGTGCGACCGCGTCCACCGTCCTCCCTTGACGGCCACGCGTGTCACCTGCCATGGTTATCGTAATGGAAATGGGATTACCAGGGGAAATCCGGTGTTTCGTTTCAAGTTTCAAGAGCCTCGGCCCTGTGCTTTCAGCTTTTTCAATCCCGCCGAATAACAACGTCCGCAATGCCATTGTCGCTGATCGTTCCGTGAATAAGTGCAATCGGTTTTTATCTTGCCGCACAATCGTCGAATATATCGAAAACTGCGCGAGACAATTAAACGTCATTGTCTTGTTACGAAACGATTCGTATTCCATTTCCATTTCTAACAAATTAGTCCAAAACTCTCAACGATGGAATCCGTCTCCTGTAAAATATCATTTCTCGATCTATCTATTCTACGCTCGCGTTTAACAGAAATTTAATAGAAACCGCCCGATGACTATCTAAACCGCTCCTGTTCCCATTTTCCGTAGAAGAGTTGGTCCATTTTCCTCGATCGTAAAAATTGCGTTAAAAAGCGCACCGCCTCTGTACCCAGAACAATGAAGGAGAGACGCACAATTCGCGTACCATTGTTCAGCGATTCAGCGAAAATTTTTCACGTTTTGCAGGTATTGCCTGAAAGAAACAATCTCGGCCACGCGATCACCGGTTTCCTGTTCGCGGCGCATCCGATTCACAGCGAAGCAGTGGCCGGCGTGGTCGGTCGTGCCGATCTTCTCGCCTGTCTGTTGACCTTGTCAGCGTTACTCGCATACAGCGCCCACTGCGAGCGCACCAGGTCGCCGTTTCCTTTGATTCTGGCCCTTGTGTCGTCGACCCTGGCTACCCTCGCCAAGGAAACGGGAATATCCTCGTTGGCTCTGTGTCTCCTCTGGGAACTGTGTCGCGGCGAGTCGAGTCGAAAGGTAAGAGACTGCAAGAAATTTCTTCGGGGACCTTTCCCTGGGTACATGGCTCGATAAAGGGAGATGGATCCTCGCAGTTTTGCATCGAATGGTTTAACACGGTGCAAACTGTGCACACAAGATGCTACGTGGAAGACGATGGTAGTTATTTATCGATAATTCATTAGAGTGCGCGAACCAAGGGGAAAGCGTATCGATCGAGGGTTGGTAATGCGCTAGGGTAAGTCTCGCTGATGAGGTGCACAGCGGTAGGATGTTGTAATTGACGTATCGTGTGTTTACGATGTACGTGCTGTTCACGGAGGATGTCGTGTTTGGAACAAAACGCGATTACTTGCATATTTGGGTTAGGTTCGCGACATTGTCATCATCGACGAGTGTTTGAAACACAATTACGAATGCGACAGTTCCGTTGATTAACCCTTCGGTTAAACGTTTCGACGAGCATTCTGTATACGACTAAAGACTATCGATACGTGATCCAAACTTGTATTTGTATCGGATATATTCCTCGTTGCGTCGATGGTCGCGCAAAATTCCATTTTACAACTCAATTCCGTATCACCTACGACCTCGTCGAACAGCTAGTTTAACTGCCACTAACTAGCCGGGATTTATGGACTGGCCGTGAGATCCTGCCTATCAGATTTTACGAGCCGTGATTTCCCCCCGTCTCGTGCTTTCTCCGTATCGCGAGGTTTCTCCGGAAGAACGAGCCTCCGGCTGGAAAGTCGAGGTTGCAACATTTACAGACCGTCGATTGCAAGTCGCTCGCATCTCACGTGCCTCGGACACATTATCGTAAATTAACGTTTCGAGAGCTGCATTACGCCGGATTGCGGTAGTGCGCGGATCCGCCTGCCATTACGAATATTAACAACTGAAAATGGACCGGTCTACCGGTAGAACGACGTAATCAAATTACCGCTGACGAGCGGAAGTAGGTGAGTCCGGAGACGAGGAGGCCCGAGCCGCGCACGGATTACGCCGGCCTGCTGGCGTCAACCGATAACGTCGTGCAATTACTCTACTACTCTATATAATTACTCGTGAACGTATACAAGAACGTAATCGTAACCAACTGGCGTAATATCGAATTCGTCGTATACGGAACATCGTATCCTCTGTTGGCGTTAACGCGCGTACGCACGTGCACCACAGGTACATGTAACGTGAAATTCTCGCCTGGTTTCTTGAATCCCAGACGCACGCGTGCATTATCCCTGCATAACGGCAACCGCCGAGGGTACAAAAGGTAAGGGTACACAAGACAAGACAAGCCTTGTAACCGATAATGACGCAGCATGTGCAAACGCGAGAGAGCAAGGCCAACATTCTGCCAGAGACAGTGGCCTGATGCACGGGGTGAGCCACCTTTAGCTTCCCCACGCCCTGATTCTAGACGGCTTTAACCACCTTCAACCACCTCCAGACACACGGCTAGACCCTTCGACGCTGAACCTCCAGGCGTTCGCTTTTCTCCTGCACATCGTATCCGGATGCGCTGGATGCATCAGACGCCTGGCGTGATGCATGTCGTGGACCAGCCAGCCAACCGACGAACGTTGGAGGGGTGCCAAGGGTCGTTCGCATTTCCTGACACCCTTCCGAGTGTAGCGTCGCGCGAGAGGCCGATCTCTCGGTAGTTCTTCCTTTCTGTCCTATCCAGTTGTCCCTGCTTTATCTTTCTTGCTCTTGATCGTCCATATTTTTCCTCTTATTATGGCACACTTGTTCGCCGTTGTTCCGTCGAGTCGCGTCGTCTCAAAATTCAAGATAGACGAGAGATCAAGCTAACCATTTTTCGACCAGAATAAAACAGTTTTCTAAGGAAATTTCTGCTGGCTCTATTCTTTTATTTTCTTTCGTCTTTGTTTCGTTTCTTGAAAGTATAATTTTATTTTGCCCGTGTTCTACATCGTCCATAACTATTCGTCTACTATGTATCGACTTGTAGCGGTCCATGGCAGTAGAAAAAGTTCCAAGGTTGAACCGGAAAAAATTCAAAACTGGGAGAGATCCATATTATTGTGGCCTCGAATACTAACGTTGTTTTAGGCTACAAAGTCTAGAAACCAAAAATATTATGAGTAGATTTTTATTGCTCTTGCAACCTTCAGCTAGAGTTACACAAGAACGCGCTCCCCATGATATTCTTTTGGTATTGTAGCACTGAGCGAGCGACGATCAAAATTGCCATTCACTACCTCTGTACCTACACTTGTTTCAATATATTTTGCTATTACGAATTCATCCGCTCGTTTCTCTATCAAACAAGCTCACATTTTAGCCACCTCAAACTTATTCTAACATCGCTGAATCGTCCACGTCTTACGATAGGCCCGCTAGTCAAAATTCTATGTTTCTTGGCCCGGCTTAAGATATCGTCCTCTTCTCACACAAGAATCACTAACTTCGTCACGCTATTTATGGTCGTTTTAATTGCGTCAACGTGGTCATTTTGAATGTTAACGAATTCGCCAAAGTTCTTAACTTTCTGCTCACATATCACCTTTGAACAGCGTCATATTCGTGTCTTGCTTGCGTATACGTAATGACGATTATTGTATGTATCCCTACTAAACAGTTTCTTATTAAGTCGTTAATAAACAAATAAATAAATAATTAACTAGGAGATGTGGAAGAGAGTATAGTCACCGAGTTAGAAATCAAAGAGAGAGAAAGATCCTCGGCACGTTCCAAGAGAATTATTAATAAAACGACAGAGCGCAATTTCCATTCATTTACGACGGAGGCCCACGTAGCTCCGCTTAAATCCTCGTTAATCGGCTTTCTAGTCAAAGGCGTCCTTTATTCGTCGAACTTCAAACCAGAATTCCCGGTTTATCGCGGCACCGAAAATGTCAGCAACGCTGTGTAACTGGGTTACATTACCGTAGCGAATTATTCCTTCTCGACTCGTGCGTCGCAAACTTGCCAAAAGTTCCACCCTGTGAGAGCTATCGTCCCTTGATTAGCCCGAATTCGCCACGGCTCGAGCATAACTCCTCGATTTTCCGGGCTTTCCCTCAAACTTGTTTTCTTCAAAAGCTGTAACAATACGGTACTTCTATGTTGCTTAAGTTTTCGACCTTCGTTCATGGTATCTCATAGTTTCGCATACCGTTCCATTCTTATTCAATGATAGAACAGGTCCCTTGTGCTCTTGCTGAAAACGTCCCTTCTAGTTACCAAGGTGATATAGTAATCTTAAGTTGCACAGATTCTTCTCACCGAATATAGCGCGAAGCAATGAAAACTACGTTTGACAATGAAATATACAAATAATTTTCTCTCTCTACTATATATTCTTTGCCACGTGCAATTAGACTTTTCGCACGATACTTGTCAGATTAATCTACTTGTATCTTTTGAATCTTTCTTCGCTCGCTATCTGATCTAACGCGAGTATTCGTTCGGTTCATGGTCACTCGTTGTTCGCAATTCCCACTCCCACGGTGACTGATGAAAACTATTTTATTATTCAGCGGAAGCGAGACGATTTAGTCGGTAGAGGGTCCCGTCGCATCCAATTTTACACGTGGCGTCGGTGCGGTAATATTAAAAGCATCGTTAAAAGGGGAAGGAAGACCGTTCGTACGAATCTATCGCGAATTATAGCATCGGCGTGAAACAAAGCCAGGCCGGTTACAATTCTGGAGCTCGCAATTATCGCCCACGACTTCTTCCGCGGCTCCGCAATTTACCATTAAAATGTCGCTTTCGCATTACGCCGCGCTACGGTTCGCTTTAAAAGCTTTCGACGTTACTTTTCATTTGCACGGAACGCCGCGCCGGCTTTCGAGAGCATCGCGTCGATTAAGCGTGCCGTGCACACCTTTCCCACGATTTTCTTGTAACCTGCTATAAAATTATATTTCCTTGTTCAACAATTTTCCGGTCCCTTTTGTTTCTTTTTCGTTCTACTTCTACCGTTATTTCGCTCGCACCCCGATCTACAAATCGTCGAAGAACGAAATTCACCGTATTATATCAGCGCTTCATTTGCCAAACCCGATCGAGCGAAATCTCCTCTTGCGTCGGTCATCCGCCAGACGCGAACACGCGTTCGACACGAACCTGCCATACGTTGCCACACGAGTCATCATGATGCTTTTGGATCCTGTTTATGAGTGTTCTCTCTGCCTATCACGAAGCTGGCAAATGGAAAAATAGACACGAATCGATATTTGCGGTCTACAGCCGCGGTTTTCCTATCCACGACGCTCTTTTTTCGAGTAGGACGCGTCATCTATGCGCTCGGTGTTTGACCGTGTACGATATACGAACGCGTCTAGTTTCCTGAAATAAAGACAGGAAAATACGTGCCGACGTTCGTCGCTTCCCATCACGTCGACTTGTTGAAAACACACGGTTTTCAAAGGGTACCTCTCTTAAATTAATGTTTTCGACATGAAAGAGCCACTCTTTTGACCGATAAAGCTACAGACCGGTTTCGTTTCCTAGTTAAATTACTTTGGAAACCGTCGCCGGATGCAGATCGTTCAGTTTAATTTACAAGCGACGAAGAGAGATGAGTCAGCTGTTTGGTCGAAACACGTGCAATTATTATTAAGATTCCTCGTTTAATTATGGATGAACATCGATATTGGCGCTCGTAACCATGACGGCCCTTAATTAATCTTCATTCGCCGTGATTCGCGTCTGTCAACGGTTTCATACCATTCGATTAAAAACCGTGTACATACTTCGTAACGAACGACAACCATTAGACCGTGATGAATTACTCGTCCGATGCACCATTCATTTATTCAAATCACTGACTGGGAATATCTTATTACCAATTACCGAGCAGCAACGAAACCTTTCATTTACGTACACGATAGAAAATAGAATATGACACCGCCGACTGATCAGAAATTATGTACCCAACGCGCACAACTTATAATTGATTTGGACTATTTGTATTTCCAGGTGAATTGCGGTTTGACTCGCTCACGTAGCATCGGCATCGTGTCTGGAAGTTTGGCACTGTTGGTTCTTGGTAGACTGAGGATTACCGGCACGAGGCCAGAATTCGCGAGCGCGGACAACCCGACGGCCAGGCACCCATCTCGCCTGACACGCGGTCTCACATTTCTCTACCTACCCGCAGCAAGCGCCAGGATGTTACTTTGTCCCAATACGCTAAGCTTCGACTGGTCCATGGACGCCGTGCCGCGAATCACGAGCCTCCTTGACGCGAGAAACCTCGAATCCGCCTGTTTGTACACGGCGCTAATCGGCGCCTCGATCTGGACGATCAAGACGCTTCGTCGACCAGTCCGGGAGACTAGTCTACATCTCGTGCAGTATCCTCGCTCCATGTCGTCCAGGTGTCCCGTGTGTGCCGGCAGGCGAACAGGAGGATGTCACACGGATGGGTGTCGGGCGGCGAACAACAATAACAACGGGCCGATCGGTGATTGTTACTGCGCGAAGAGGCCTAACAATGGATTAATCTGGAGCAACGGATTCGCCAGCAGGCAGGCGGCTGCGAGTGGTGTCGCCGCGTCCCTCGGTTTCCTCGTGCTTCCCTTCCTACCGGCTAGCAATTTGTTCTTTTACGTGGGCTTCGTCATAGCCGAGAGGATTCTCTATTTACCGAGCGTGGGCGCGTGTCTGATCGTCGGAGCCGCGATCTCTGGATGTTATCAGATAGCAAGAAGACACGGGTCGAGAAGGAAAGGCAGGGCAGTGCTGCTAGCTACGGCGGTACTCGTTTGTCTGATGTCGGCTAAGACGTTGTTAAGGAACGCCGACTGGTTCGACGAAGAGAGCCTATATAGATCGGCTCTGCACGTGAACCCTCCAAAAGGTGAGTCCCTTCTCTTCATTATTTTCCTCTTCGTATCGATTAATGGGAATTTTATTGCGAGACTTACTTCTGCAAGGGGGAACATAAGGTCTCGTATTCCTGGCAGTTATTAACCGACTCTGAAAGTTATATACCTACGGGACGTACAACTAACATACGCAGTTCATCGTTAAATTTTTTCCAAGCATCGAACATAGTCTTCCGTCGTATTTTATATTCAACGTTACGTCAGCCAGCAACAATTGCCACTTTACCAAGCCATTAACATTTTAATTATCTACCCGGTGTCCCCTCTGTACCGCAGTCGCTAGGAAAAGCAATAAAGATAGGTTGCACGTGCGACGAACGCGGATGAATTAAAAAGATAACGATAATAACGAGTCGCGTGCTAATGATAAAGCCGGCTGATGATCGAAGACAGATATGTCCGCAAGGACGAAATGTATAGCACAATGTAAAAATGAAATTCCGCCCGCGTCGCTCGAATATCGCTGGCAGTTTTCTCTACGGCGACTCATTTCGACGGCGCGCGGCTGACCCCCGCTATCCAGCCTCTCATCTTCAACTTGCCTGCTGGCCAACGATCCGCCTACCGTGTACATAAAATTGCCGGCTGAGCTGGATACGCGACATGCAATACCAGCTCGACGAGAGTACCCTCCTCCGCCACCTGTCCACTTTTTATCGTCCTCAGTCCTTATCCGTCTTCGTCCGTTGTTTTTATATATCTCCGCTAGACGCGTCCCCTTGTACCTTTACTGCCGTGTCTATACCCCGCACGATCGTTTTATCTTCCCCTTTATTTGTCGCATTGCCCCTCCCACGTTATTCGCGTTATTGCGAATACACGCGTTCCTCTCTGCCCTTATAATTCGCGTCGTTGTCTATCCGCCGCGTCACTTACCTTTTTCCATGTATCCTGATAAAATTATGAATACATCGAGCATCTTCCGATCAACTTACCCCACCTCTTTCCAAACTTTAATATATCGTCCAGAATATTTGTAATCCTCTCTCCTTGGCTCCTCTTTACTCAGCTACTCTCGCTCGATGAATCAGTGATACGGGTCTCCCGAGACCCGAAGTGCATCGGTTTCCCTAGCGATTTTCTCTCTCTCTCTCTCTCTCTCTCTCTCTCATACTCTCTCTCCATCTCTACTTGAGCTTTATCGTTTCGCTTATCCGTCTCTGTCCGTTTTTGTCCACCTCCGGTCGTTTTTACCGGCTTTATCTAACCGATCTGAACTTCATATCGCACCGCTGGCCTCCTAATTACCCGTGGGTGGTCCGACGCATCCTTTGGATTCCGTTTCTCACCGAGCCCGGTTCCACCTCAGTTTCCGAACGTTATTATCGCGGTCGTTTCGTTTCACCGAGTTCCGGCGAGTCACAGTTCCCTCGAATAGACAATGTTCTTGGAAACATAGCTGGCCGGACGACCGTTTCAACGATGCTCCATACCTGCTTTGTCGAGTTTCACCTTTGTTTCCCTTTTAATCTTCGCGTCAAAAGGGTGCCGGCTGGCAGAGGCGAGAGGCGGTCACGCGAACCGAAGCTGAAACACCACCGACAACCTTTCTCTCGTGTCACCTATATCCGTCCGGTCACAAGCCTTTCTTCGCGGATCGTTTTAATGGCCGAGGTAAAAACTAGGTGCATAGTAGACCAAGAGTGTAAGGATCGACGTGGTTAGAAATATTACTAAGGATCGTCATTACATTATATTACATTATTAATGTTGCGACACTCAATTAACTAGCGACCAGTCAGGCACAACTGATCGGTTGGTATCGCGAGCCTTGAACGTTATTAGCGTCAAAGGTGGAGGTTTAGTTCACCTTATTTATTCCACTCAATACTCTGAATACAACTGTCTTTGATTCACTGGCTATCCTGTTAAATATAATAGCCATTGACTGAATACTGTTATATGTTGACTCTTAGAATGCTGGTGTAAGAGTGTCTCTTGGTGATGTTGCTGTGGTAGAGGAAGGTTCGTGGTGGGTGGGTCTCAAGTCTGTTCCTAACTCATCATTGGGTAAAGATGTATGTTTAAGCATGGGCTGGCTGCTTTCATGAAGATTCGCGCGCGGGTGACCTTACATTTGGGGACACCCGCGTTCACTGGCTATCCTGTTAAATATAATAGCCATTGACTGAATACTGTTATATGTTGACTCTTAGAATGCTGGTGTAAGAGTGTCTCTTGGTGATGTTGCTGTGGTAGAGGAAGGTTCGTGGTGGGTGGGTCTCAAGTCTGTTCCTAACTCATCATTGGGTAAAGATGTATGTTTAAGCATGGGCTGGCTGCTTTCATGAAGATTCGCGCGCGGGTGACCTTACATTTGGGGAAACCCGCGTGTCCGGTCTTCTTGAGATGTAGCATAAATAAAGAAGTTTCGTGCCTTATGGGTTTTCTCCGTGGGGTCCTAAAGTGTACCTTGACTGTACAATAGGCCCACTGTTTATGCTAGGTCTGCACTCGGGTAGCGTAGACTCTTGACGGTCGTCCTGCCCGAGGATCGCATCTAGTTCACATAAATCGTCGCGCTAATTACCAGGCGGCCACTCCAAATCTCGAACAATTAAGGATCGACGAACGTACTTAGATCGATACCAGTTTGCTTTTGAATGATTTTTGGCGGGAAATTAGATCGAGCGAGGGCGCATTTGATATAACCCTAGTCACGCAACTGCCGCTGTGTAACGTAGAATGTGTGATTGTTTGACGCGGAAGAGTTTAGGAATGACAACCAGCTCGACGTTGTGTTTCCTTAAAAAATAGAAATATCTCACCTATGAGAACTGGCCATGAAGATTAGGGTAACGCTACCACAAGGGACAATACAGCACGTATGCTATGATTAACAAAAAAAAAAAGAGATTTGTGTTTTAAGTTGGTAGGCTGCGTATGCTGCAACAGCGATCGCTGGCTTTTGCACTCTATTTAATCGCTTAATTCTCTTCTCTTTGAAGTTTTAACCAGCAGAGAAATTATTCGATCGATTCGAAACTTAACTTCCCTATTAAATAATCCAGGTAATCCCTTATTCAATCACGTAGGAACATATCGATCGTTGGTTTATTGAAGTTAGACGACGCAGAGTTAGAGCAGGCTTGGCCAACAAATAGAAGATCCCGGATGGAACCTTGGTCCAACAAACTCTGCGGTCGATTCCTTCCCTTTCCTCGATTCTTTACTTTTTCTTCTCCTCTTCCACGCTCTATCTCGCTTTAAAGTCAGCCGGGTCTACGGTACGTGATGTCGTTTGTACTCGCTTTAGCTGGCACGATGACCATCCCATCGAAGGTCTATTTGACCGGTATTTTCCTCCGCTAACGCGACTTTTCCTCCGCCCGGCGAAGACGATTAGGCGCGAGTCTACTGGAACGTGACTGGAGGGAAAGAATCAGTGGTTCGATTTTCAAGGGAGGAAGCCAGCGATCGCGTTACGAGCGTAAAATCGGGCCATAGCTCAGTGGAGGGTAGCACGAAACGCGGCATTCGATAGAATCGCACGACGATGAAATATGCTCTGCAGCGATTTATCGCGTTTATTTATCGCGACTGATTTAAAATGCCAACCTCGCCGCTTGTGGATTATCGCCGTGTTACCGGCGTAGAAGCATCGTATTTTTGTTTCGGTGTTAAAATAATGGCAAGAGAACTAGGTATATGAAGATAGGGAAAACGTTGAACAAGTTGAAGACGTAAATTAGTTGAAGCGTTTAAAGGAATTTCGTTCGATGATATACTAGAAAAAGTGCGAGGCGGCAATGCATAATAACGGATAATCATTTTCCGATTTCGTAGTTCCATTCGGCCGTGTTTTCTTCGTCGATCGTTTCTTTCGCGTTCGCATTTCACTCGGCCACATCGTGCCCCGTTCCTCTCCATTATTTCGCTCAACGTTCTAAAGAGGCGCGTTTCTTTTTGTTCGTCCTATGACGTTCAATCTATCATTCGGTTCATTTACATCGCACAGTCAGTGCACGGTGCTCTTTAATTCGCTGGCTCGCGCGCGCTCCACTTTCCCATTCGCCACGGTCGCAATTGAAAAGAAACGGCTAACTGGATCGAACCACCGTTGCGCAAAGGACCGAAGGACACTCGATCGTGGGAAAAATGTAGAACGAGCGGAATTTTCCCTATTTTTCCAAGCACGGCGAAAATTTTCAAACCGTAGCCCGATGTCGTTAACGACAAACGCTGCAGCGTGCTACCGACCAACGCGACGCGCTCTAAATACGCGAGCTTGATTCAGGACTCGAGAATGAAACGGGAAACGCTCGAAGAAAGTCGACTCGAACGATTCGAGAATTTAAAAAGGTCGTTTGAGAATTTTTCCCGACGATTTAATTTTTATGTGAAGTTCGAGCGGTTTATTATTCGTTTCTAAAAGTCGCGTTAGGTGACTAAATGTTTTAAACAAACCCTAGAGAGGAGAACTGTTTGCTAATGGAAATTATTTCTTGCTTACGTTTGTGCACGGACAGAGCCCGTAATCAGATTATATCCATCTTAAAACCACACGGCGCGGTAGTATTTAAAGTACTAATGAAAAATAATTTGAAGCGTGAAGATACAAGAGCTTTTTAAATAATCGCACAGGGACCTCGCCAAGCCGAGAAAGAGCTGTACTTCGCGTAATAGTAAACCTTATTTAAGGCAATGTCGTGTAATCTACTTGTTCTTTTATCCGCTGTAATCTTCCCTCTAGCGAAACTTCTTTTACACAAAACTTCATTTCTTAAAATTTTCATTCAAACTGCAGCAGCGTTATCATCGCCAAAGATACTTTGTAAGGATCGATAAACAAAATTTCAAAACTTTCTATCGCGAACACCGAAGTCGATAGTTTTGAGTAACTTTGCAGCAGCTACACCAAGTGTAACGAAAGCGCACCTGCGATTTCTCGAATTGAAAGGAAACGAGGAATCGTGGAAGGTCCGTGACGCGTTTGCAGGCCAACTTTACGATCCCGGATTCATTTATTACTCTCTGCTCGAGTAGCCATCGGTCCAAATCAGCGACGGAAAGGTCTGGAAAATGTTTTACAGTCGATATTGTTGGTCGAAGATAAAAAGCGGAAGCGAGCTCGCTGCAACCGTGTGCGCTGTGGCACGATATTCGCGCTATCCGGTGTGCACCGACGATCGCGTGTGCACGCGGGTTTATTGCTCGTAAATACAAAGAACCGAGAAAGAAGTCGGGGGGAGAAAGAAGGAACCCCGGGGATGGAGAAAGAGTCTCGACCGTGCCTGTATCGCGTCTTATTGCTTTTCAAGAAGAAGTTGTGCGCCACCTTTAAAAATCTATCATGGAGAGACGTATCGTTTCTCGTGTACTCTCGTGATGTACGATGCTGTTTGAAGATTCGAGTCGCAGAGACAGAATAACGAGGAAATTTATGTCGTTGCTAAATTCTATAGCTGGCGTATAAATAAACGCGATAGTATCGAAAAGGAAGTAATATTTCCCTTTTGTAGCAACCGTTACTTTTTTCGTTTCGTCGGTGTGGCCCTGTTGTAACAAATGTTCCGTTGTGATTGTTACAGCTTATGGTAATTTGGGCAGTGTGCTGAGCGCTCAGGGACGCGTCGCGGAGGCGGAGGAGGCGTTCGTCCAGGCGCTCCGCTATCGACCGAACATGGCGGACGTACACTACAATCTGTAAGTACAGCCACGTGCAGTCCCAATAATCCACTTTGCTGTTTGCCCTCTCTCTTTTTTCGCTGCTAATGGCGCCCGGTGTAGGAAAGAGCAACCTCGATCTCGTTTTAACACGGTAAACAGGGGATAAACACGGACCGAGTTTATCTAAAAACCCTCTCATTACTTTTTCCGAGTCTTCTTTGATTAAACTCGGCGATATTTAGAGTTGCTTAGTAAGGCAAACGGAGTTGGAAGTCAATTTTCCAAGGCGTCCGCGCGATACACACCCGTTCGACAGAGGAAGTTTCATTATGAGAAAGCTGGCAGCGAATCCGAATTCCACGCTCCGTATATTTCGTCATCCAAGATTTATGAGACGCCATACAATGGCGGAAACTTTCGCCTTGTCCCTCTGTTTGCTACGTGTCGCGAATCCCGCCTCGGTCACTGAAAATCCTAACATTCGAAATTCTAAAATCCTGGAACGCGGAACACCCTGCCACGCAGGGTTTCGAATTTCATCTTGTCTCCGACTGAACGTAACGCGATCGTCCCAGGCAACTTCCGTTTCCCTCGTCGCGTACTCGCTTCGCGATACGTAGCACAGAGTGGACGCTGACCCCGGATCCAGGGACGACTGTCGAATTTGCGTAATCCACGAGCAAAGCGCTGCCGCTCCGCAAATCTCGCAAGCAATGAAGTCTCTCCTGACTTAAGCAGCCGGTGGCGCGGCAGTGTCCGAAATGCAGGAAAAGGCCAGGGGCCGACGGGACGCCCGACGTTGTGCGATTCGCTGGAAATAAAGGTCGAAGGAATCGCTGATCCGTGGCGGAAAATCGGTACACATCGAGAAATTCCGCCGATTGTCCCAGATCCATGGCTAGACTGGCTTCGAACGCTTTGTGCGCCGTGCTATTGGAAAAGCTACATGGAACCAGCAAGTCGTACAGGGAATTTCGTGTATAGCGTGAGAAAGCTATCGATCCCGTGCCGTTGCAACGTGTGTAACGTCGGCCAATCTAGAGAACGGAATATAGCGAAGAGAATCTAGCGAACAGAATCTGGCTACTGGTGAGACGCTTTCCTTTATCGCTAACCGGTATAAGACAAACTCTCACGGGGAACTACCGAAAGTCTCGCAGGACTTTCGATCGGCGCTCGTCATCTTCCAGCTATCCCGGACCGTTGTAGAGGGGACGTGGAAGCTTG